ACTCAAGTGTTAGTTTCATGTTGGTTTCAAGCAACTAAAGTTTCATGGTGTAAAGCCAGCCTAACTCACTCACTCACTCACTCACTCACATTCAACAGCTAGAATATTCTCCACAAGGGAGCGCTATTAGCACTCAACTTTTGGAGGCACCACTTAAAGTGGTGCTTTGCACCAATGACAGTGTGTCCTTGTTAACACTAGTAGGTGGAGTTTAACTTGAGGCTTTCTTAGGGTGGGCAATAACAACATAATATCAATGTCACAATAAGTGATAGTGGTATATGGACAGGTGGGCGTACAGAATTCATTTTCACATATACTCTATAAATAAAGGATGCAAATGTTGGAAGTGTTTACAAAGAGAAATAAACTTCATACAATATACTGCAAGCCAATATAACACAACAAATGAGCAATAAGTTACTTCACATAAGTGCTTTTATTCATGTATTAAATGTGTATTAAGTGTTAGCCTGCAGTGTTTAGCTACAGAGTGAATCTGTAATCATTTTTATAGCTCACAGAGAGTCATACTGTATCATAAACCAGACTGACAGGTGTGTGAGACCTTAATGAAGACCTGGATGCGGTTTGAGAGAAGTTTTGTATGAAGTATTTAAAGAAAAGATTTGGGTGACTATTGAGTTCTAATGTTTGTTAGCAATCTTATCTTCACAGCTTCAGCGAAAGATAAAGAAGCTAAATTTGGACGCCAAATGTTACCAACCATGGAACACTGTGTTTGCTGATGAATTTCTTTAACAATAGCTAATTTTAAGTAGTTTTTAAAAAAATTATTTAATTAGTATCGGCTAATAATCAAGATGCGAATGTAAGTATCGGTATCAGAAAAGAAAAAAGTGACATCGTACCACCTCTAACCACAATATTACATTTTTGCCATATCGGCCCACACCTAGCTTGGCTTACTCATAGACTCCATCTTGTCTTTCTCCACCATCATGTTCGTAAACGCACAGAGGATTCTACTGAATCTGCCCAGCTCTGTGTATTATTTAGCCCCTTGTCAGTAAATCTATGGTGAGATATGAAGATAGATTGCTGTGCGTGACTGATAATTGCTGTAAGAACTCCAAAACACTCACACGTGCATGAGCACATGCACACATGCACACACAATAGTGCCATTTAAAGGGCAGGCTGAGGGGGCTACGCCATCTGCCATCCACGCCTTTTTCAAACCAAGCATGGTGGCGCCTTCACAACCAAAATAGAGATTCATTGCCTTCTCTGTTCACTGCATGCGGGACGTCTTCAAAAAAAAATCCACGCCGTTCTGCGCTTATGGCCTTACAGCACAGTCCTATATCACAATGCACACAGAAGCTATCCTGCTAAACCCTTCCCAGGATATTACTGTTTAGTTAGCACCATGTGCTAACTCTCTCCAAGATCCATCCCACATCTTCCAAAACACTGTTTTACTATTCCGACAGCCGCTCCACACCGAACCCGTTTGAACTAATGGACTAATGTTACATTTCGCAGAGGAAACTCTGCCTCCTGAAAGTAAAACAAGCCGCCTTTCAGACCTTGATCCCTCGGGCTCAGACGTCTGTGGCGTGGCTCTTACTTGAGGTTGTTATTAGCAGTTACGAGACATCAAAAAGCGAAGGAACCAACGCCATCTCCGACTCAGGAACTGGAGAATCTGCAAACAAAACCCGCCTTCAATCAAAAAGAACATAAGCCGGCCCGTTTCCTGAGGAGGAACGCACAAAACACGCAGGAGACAGACCTCGGCACGCCTGCAGACCACCGCCGAGCAGCTCTCAGGATAGCCCCTCTAAAGCCACAGCCAGTAGACGTTTGTGGTTTGCGTCGTCTTGCTAAATGGACACTGGCTGGTCCAGAGGATTACAAAATATTACATGTTGGTGCAGTTAGCAGGCTAGCTAACTTGCTAACCATAAACAGTAACAACACAATATTATATACTGTGGCATAAAAGCATAGATAACTGGCCTGGTTTGCAGCAGCGGTGGTTAGCCAAGGAGCTAACATTGCTGTTAGCAAGCTGGTTAGCTTGTCTACTACAAACAGTACAGATAGATAGATAGATAGATAGATAGATAGACAGAAAGACAGATAGATAGATAGAAATATAGATAGTCAGATAGATATACAGATAGTCAGATAGATATACAGATATACAGATAGATAGATAGATAAAAAGATAGATATATAGATAGACAGATAGATATACAGATATACAGATAGATATACAGATAGATAGATAAATAGATAGATAGATAGATAGATAGACAGACAGACAGAACTTTATTGATAGATAACTGGCTTGGTTGGCAGCAGCTGTGGTTAGCCAAGGAGCTAACACTGCCGTTAGCAAACTGGCTAACTTGTCTACTACAAACAGTAGATAGATAGATAGATAGATAGATAGAGAGAGAGAGATAGATAGCTGCTGTGGTTAGCTAAGGAGCTAACATTGCTGTTAGACAGTTAGATAGATTGGTAGGTGGTGGTGATTTAGATACATCCAATTATTCATTCCTACAGCAGTTTAGCCCCGCCCACTCACACTGAAGTTTTAAGGAGTGTTTTGGCCTGCTTTTTGAATAAGGCACAATACAGGACAAACCAGAACAGAGCTCATTTACATATACTAGTCTTAAAGGCACAGTGACAAAAATAGCCTGTTTATGAATAATGACTGTTTTTGATACATAAAAGCACAAACAAGTTGACTTCAAGGAAAACAATATAATACAAGAAAACTGTAGAATATGGACTCTATGAAGTTAAAAGAACCTCCATATAAAGAAACGGCCAATCTACTATTTACCAGTTAAAGGTTTTTTCAATATCCGCATAATTAAGCCATGAAAAACATGGGAACCTTTATTTTTAAGAGTGTAGTCTCTTTATGTTGTCATTTGGAGAGAACGTATGTGGCATATAAAACCTGACCAGCCGCTTCGTCCACAGTGCTGTGTTTACCGTGGACCAGTCAGTCAGATAAATGTTAGCCTCTGATGGCACGGAGAGGCATTCTCTGACCCAGGGGATGAAAAATGACCTCTTTCTGTCTCTGACAGGGATCTCTTAATGATAGCTGTGGTCAGATTTCTCCCAGGCTGAAGACTGGGTGATTGATCTCTCTTAATCCATCCCCTTGCGGGCATCTTAATTCCTCTTCTCTCTCTTACTCACACATACAGCCGTCCAGCCATACGGCCTAGCTCCAGTTCAAACACCACCAAAACGTTATGTTCTACCTCCAGCTTCCCGTACCCATGTTCCCTTCAAAAACCACTCACAACCAGAACACCCTGCAACCAAACACCATATAAACACATGTGCAGGCTGCCCACAGTGCCCATAATAATCAGGTCCCCAACCACCAGAGGGAGCCCAAGAGAACAAGAGTTGCAATTTAGATTTTTTTCTTTGATTAAATGAAAATGTTTATACACATAAATAAACATGTTTTAGTCTGTTTATGCATGAAGTCTTGCAAGCTGCTAAGGTCTAACAGGTAGAGCCACAAGCTATGGCAGTACAGCTGAGATTACATTAATGTCAAATTAATGCATCAACAAATTACATTGATATGAAAATTAATGTGAAAACAAAGATATATCTCCATAAAGATCAGGACAATTTAGGGCGCCTCAAAAGAACCTCTTGGCTTCCACATCCAGCCAAATGCTAGAGGTGTACCATCGAGGGGGCCTTGTGGGGCCTAGGCCTCTTAACTTGGAAGCCAAGCCGCTTCCCAGATTTCTAACTACTCAAAAAGGTCCTCAGATGCCAGTGAAACATTTTAAAAACGTTTAGCACACCTATAACATAGGATGAACCCAGTGGTGCTGTAAGTCCACTAGTCAGCGCTGTGGGCAGCAGTCCACCACTTGAGGACAGGGCCAGAAATACAGAGGTGGTAAAAACAGTCAACAGGCAGGAGGAGAGAACGGAAATCAGCTTTTCCGCTAAATTTTTAAACATAATGTTTTTAGACTGGGATTTCATATCAAATGAACGTGCCCTGGTTCAGCGCTTTGGTATCTATTTCTCTCTGAAAGGCTCATTAGCGAGAAGATGCAACTGCTTGCCAGTAGCATTTAGTTTCATAAACAATTGTTTATTCTCCCAGTGGACTGCTAAAAGTGGTGAATGGAAGCCTAGATAGCCAAAGCTAGTTTACCCTGTTCTTCAGTGGTCAGGACCCTCATGGACCCTCACAGAGCAGGTACTATTTGGGTGGTGGATCATTCTCAGCATGGCAGTAACACTGACGTAGTGGTGGTGTGTTAGTGTGTGTTGTGCTGGTCTGAGTGGATCAGACACAGCAGTGTTGCTGGAGTTTTTAAACACTGTCCACTCACTGTCCACTCTGTTAGACACTCCTACTTTGTCAGTCCACCTTGTAGATGTAAAGTCAGAGACGATAGCTCATCTCTTGCTGTACAGTATGAGCTAATCATCCTCTAGTCCTTCATCAGTGGTCACAGGATGCTGCCCACAGGACGCTGTTGGCTGGATATTTTTGGTTGGTGGACTATTCTCAGTCCAGCAGTGACACTGAGGTGTTTAAAAGCTCCAGCAGCACTTCTTTTTCTGATCCACTCACACCAGCGCAACACACACTAACACACCACCACCACGTCAGTGTTACTGCAGTGCTGAGAATGATCCACCACCCAAATAGTACCTGCTCTGTGAGGGTCCACGGGGGTCCTGATCACTGAAGAACATGGTAAAAGGGGGCTAACAAAGTATGCAGAGAAACAGATGGACTACAGTCTGTAACTGTAGAACTACAAAGTGACCCTATATAGTAAGTGGAGCTGATAAAATGGACAATGAGTGTAGAAACAAGGAGGTGGTCATAATGTTATGCCTGATCAGTGTATATCTTTGGCTTATAGTTCAGGAGACTGGTTCACGCCTTTCTGCTTATATGAGCTGGTGACAAATCATATAATAGTCCACGTGTATTTTCATAAAGGACTCACTGTGGCTGACTGATTGGAGGTGGACGGTCTTGGAGATTTTCTCCTCATAGTTTGGAGTGCAGGACTTGCGGCTGACCTTGGACTTGAACAGCGTGTTCACCAGCGTGGACTTCCCCAGGCCACTCTGACCTGCCGAAGGAGACAGAAAGCAGCTTTAGAATCAGATTCACTTTCACACAGCGGCCACATAAATAGAATGTATCTGGTCATGACGCTGCAGTGGCGCTCATCACAAAAGCATGGTGCAATACGGCAACACTTCCCTCGGGTTACACAGACGGCATCGCTGTCATAGAGGAAGTGATCTACTTGTAACATATAAGCACAAATCTAGGTGTGTATTAAAGAATCTCCACATAATGAAAAGCGGCATTATGTCATTTGTTAACAGTGCAAGTTTACAGCTTAAACCACCATAGAAGGAACCTTTAAACCTCCCCTAAGGAACCTTTCAATGGACGGTTCTTAAGAGCAGTTTTTGTAAACGAAAAGAACCTTTTTTTAAAAGTTTGAGGAACCTCCACATTGTAAAGGTTTTGGGAAGAACAACTTAACTTGGTAAAGAAGGTTCTTTAAACTTCTGAAAACAAAAATGGTTCATTAGGAAACCAAAAGTGGTTCCTCTATGGCAGAACCATTTGTAGGACCTTTTTCAAGGAGTGTAGGTCAAGCACTTTTAATGTATCTACATAATATTTGGGTTTTAATAACTTGGCACATACAGAATTCAACAGTGTGTGTGTATTGAATATTCAAGACATTCTGCTCTGCTCGAAGGCCTCTGGAGGCCACCGGTCAGCTCCTGACCCTAAAGAACCTTTCAATGGATGTTTCTTCAGAGAACAGTTTTTGTAAATGAGATGTGAGTGTGAAGAACCTTTTTTTAAAGTTTGAGGAACCTCCACGTTTTAAAGGTTTTAGGAAGAACCCATAATTTGTTAAAAAAGGTTCTTTAAAATTTTAAAACGTTTTCATTTACAAAAATGGTTCTATAGGAAATGAAGTGGTTCTTCTATGGCAGAACCATTTGTAGGACCTTTTTTTAAAAAGAGTGTAGGTCAAGCACTTTTATATACCTACATAATATTTGGGTTTTAAGAACTTGGCACATATAGAATCCAATAGATATGTGGGATCATGTGTTTGTATCGAATATTCAAAATGTCCTGCTCTGCTTAAAGGCCTTTGGAGGCCACTGGTCAGCTCCTGACCCTAAGGAACCTTTCAATGGATGGTTCCTTCAGGCACAATTTTTGCAAATGGCATACAAGAATCTATGAAGGACCTCCACTAATGTAAAGGCTTCTTCTAGATCTCCATGTCGAAGCAAAGAACCGTTTAAGGAGCCTTTACTGTTTAGAGTGTAGATCAGCACTCACTGAGATACGAGACCTCAGTATGAGTCTTTGAGTGAATAAACGCAGTGCACTCATTTGCAGGGCACCCTTTACTTCACTCACTACTGCAGTGGAGGAAACGTGTGGGAGTTTCTGTAATAACTAAATCACCTGCTTTTTCCTTCTCGCAGATACAGAGGCACAGATAAAAATAGAGGTCAGGCGGATGTGTAATGAAGACACGGCGACGCAGAGCAGGGCGGCAATCAGCGGCTTACATAAACCCCTCCACACCGCAAATCAGCAGCCGTGTAACGCGGCCGGGTCAAGCCCGGGCGAAGTTCCTGAGAGTCTTATCTGGCTGATGGCCAAACACATGGCACAAAGCCGCCGGGAGCTGCGGGTCTTAATGACTCTCCCACACCGGCGCTCACGGGCCTGGCGGGGAAGCCATTACTGCGGAGGGATTCTTATCAAGACCCTCTCATTCACTCCAACAACACTCAGTCTATCTGCACCCCCTCCTCGGCCACAAAGGAGGGCTAATGTTAACCCTGCTAGGTCCCCCACGGTGCAGCTGCCTTGAAACGCCTCCTCTTACATCTCGTTTAATTACTTCTCACACTTAACTCCTTGAAACAAGTGGATAAATTCTGTGGAGAGCGCAGAGTCTTAACTTTCAATCCATTTGTGTTTGTGTTTGTAAGTAGAAGTGGAGATATTTTACTGTGATTTGAATTTGATGATAAGTTACGGTTGTTTGCAAGAAAAAAAAACTTTATATTTTGGCAATTTTCAGCCATATTTTGATAAGACAAAAGGAACACTGACAGATGGGCTGACTTGAAAAAAGTAAATGTAATTACATATTATTTATTGCTAGCTATAGTGCTGTACAAAACCTCAGAGAAGCCCTTCATTTCCAGTCTAAACAGCCATTAGGTACAAGTTACTCATTTCTCAGGAGAAAGTCATATAATAAAACTTTGAGTCGGCTCCAAAACTGGCTCCTAACAACCACCTGGAAGACCTGGGAGACACCCAAAACTGCCCCCATCAGATAAACAGCACTTAAAGCTTTCATCTCTGAGAGAGAGGAGAAAATCAAGCTGCTTCAGATCTGAAAACATCCACAGGTGTTTCTGTCCATCCTTCCACTGTGAGAAGACGACTCAGCGCTGTGGGTCTGAAAGGATGTGTAGCTGTTCAAGAAGAACCTCACTGAGAAAAGGAGACGGACACATCAAACAAAGAAGCTGAACGATGAACTGACCACCCCAGAGTCCAGACCTCAACACCACTGAATGTGTTTGATTACTTTAGAAAATGATCAACCAGCTTCTAAGACTGAACTTTGGAGGTGTGTCTGCAGATTCTTTGAGGAACTGAGAAGAATGAAAGCTGTAATAAAGGTGAAGAGTGACACACTAAATACTGAAAAAATCGATATTTGGTCATTGAGGCTTCTGTGATATTGCTCAAAGCAATAAGCCACAAGAGCCCAAGTGTTACGTTAATTTTACCACCATTAAGAGTGTTAAGCTAAACTGATCTGAAAAGGGAAGCAAAAAGTGCATGTTATTACATAACAATCAGTGCAATGTCCTGCTCTGCTCTGTGGCCTGCAGAGGCCACCATTCAGCTCCAGACCCTAAAGAACCTTTCACTGGATGGTTCTTTTAAAGAGCCATTTTTGTAAATGATGAGTGAAAATGTATGAAGAACCTTTTGAAAGTTGAAGAATCTCCACTAATATGAATTGTAGAATAAAATCTGATTGTAGCGTCCTGCTCTGCTCTGAAGCCTCCAGGGGCCACCAGTCAGCTCCTGATCCGCGCTAAAGCAGGGCCTGGGTGACGCGCTGAACGCTCCAGCCGCTCTGTTTGCCATTGTACGGAAGCCTGCACGCCCCGGGGGGCCGTCAGCAGCAGAGACAGACGATGGAGCTGGGACGAGCTGACCCCCTCCATCATCGGCCACCCCAGCGCAGGCCCTGACGGATTTACGCCACTCACTCACACCATGGGAGGCTGCTGACATCAAATTTATGAGAAGAGGAGAGAAGAGGAAATGGGAGGATACAAGAGGAGAGGAAAACAGAGGAGTTATGAGGAGAGAATATAAGTGGAGAGCAGAGGATACAAGAGGAGAGGAGAGGAGAGAGGAGAGGAGTTATGAGGATAGAATATAAGTGGACAGCAGAGGATACAAGAGCAGGAGAGATGAGAAGAGAAGCGAGGAGAGGAGAGAAGATGCGAGGGAAGAAAGGCAGAGGAGAGGTGAGGAGAAGAGATGAGGAAAGAGGAGAGCAGAGGAAAGGAAAGAAGAAGAGAGGACAGAAGAGGAGAGGAGAGAAGATGTAAGGGAAGCAGAGAGGAGAAGAGATAAAAGAGGAGAGGAAATGAGAGGAGAAGTGAGAAGTGTATATATAAGTGGACAGCAGAGGATACAAGAGGAGAGGAGAGGAGAGGAGAGAAGATGCGAGGAGAGAACAGCAGAGGAGAGGAGAAGAGTAAAGAGGAGATGAGATGAGAAAAGAGGAGAGGAAGAGAGAGGAAATGAGAGGAGAAATGAAGAGAGGAGAGAAAATCCGAAGAGAAGAGAAGAGAAGAGAAGAGGATGACTCGCATATTTCCTAGACACTATTGCACAGGATTTAAAAGCTGACAACAGCCGGCCTGACGCTGCACTGAGTCACTCACTGTACCTGTTCTGGCAGCGTCCCAAAGAAGTGGGCCAAATCCCGATGTCTGTGCATGGAGGGTCTAGGCCAAGACATTTTTAAATATTTAATATATTTATTTGATTTGATTTCACTAATGATTATATTAAATAAACATATTATTGGTGTGAATTTATTACACTATTCTGTTGCATGAAAATAGAGACCCATATCGGGGAAAACCGAGTTTCCCCACACTTTTCACTCCTCAGTCCATACAGTCCATTTCAGACTCACTGTTTTTGTGATGTCATAAAAACTATGTTGAAACTATATATAGACATTGTTACAAATGTATTCATGTATGTCTACCTGTTCAACCTAGCTCCACACATTCACACTAAAGTTATAAGAAGGGTTTCAGCACTGACTGCTTTTTAAAAGTGGCACAGCCAATCAGAACAGAGCTTATTTACCTATCTCAGTTTTAAATATACAGTATCAAAAACAGCCTGTTTAATGCGAAGGGAGTCTAAGCCTGTCTAATTCTAAAGAGAGGTCAGAAAATGGACACAAATAAGTGAATTATGACTGTTTTGCTACATACAACCACAAAAACACCAAGTGAAGCTCAGAGAAAGAAATAAAATCAAGAAAAATGTAGGATAAGGGCCCTTTAAGGTGACATACAATAAATCAACACAACTGTGTTTGTTTTATTAGACTGTTTTCAGTCACCTATGGGGGCTACCTGCTTCTATATGATTGGTTGCAGTGGTTTGAATTTAACCAATCAGGCTGCTCTCCATAAGTGACTTTTGAGAATGGGCTAAATTATTTTATATCCTAAATATAAATTTAATCATAAGTTGGAATATACGCTGAAGGAGGACACAGTCTAGACACAGTGCAGTTGATTCGGTTTGAGTCACATGCTGACAGAGACTCTCTGACAGCAGCCGTGTTGCGACGGCCTGTCACTTACTCATGCTGCATGAAAAGGTCATGAAAGGTAAGCCGTAAATTCATGGTGGTCCGTGTGTTCGTACAACTCGGACTGATTTCCGTGACACATGAAGGACTTTCAAAGAGGAACGAGCGCATTCCTTTTCTCCTGCTTTAAAGTTTAC